AGCCGCGGTCGGAGTACACGCCGGAGGAGATTGCCAAGTTGGACGCGGAATCGGCGAAGAGGAGGGAACGGAGAGCGGCCGTCAAGATCAATGCCGGCCGCTGGCTGTGTTGCCGACGAGGACAACTATTCATTTTGGAGACTGTCTGTGTTGCCGGGCGCTGGCTGTGTTGCCGGCAATGGTCGTGTAGGCCGCTGGCTTTGTTGCCGGCGTGATGAACTCGGGTCGTGAACTGGGGCTTGGCATTTGAAACGTCTTTTTTTTTTAAATAGACGCGGACATGATGGGGCAAAAGGATGCGGCCGCGCGCTAGGCGCACGGCCACCGCATTCCAGGACAGACCCGTACACGACCTCAAATCCCTACCCAAAGAGACAAAAACCGGACAAAACGGACATTCGTTTGGGGTTGCGCGATGGAGTTGGCCTAACGGTCGGCCCGGGGCGCAGTACGTGCGTGTCCACCCGGTAGCGGTGCACCGGCAGGCGCGGCCGGCATGGGCGCCCTGCCGTCCCTGTCCCCCGGATTTGAACCGGCAACCACACGGGCGTTGCGAGGTCGGCCGTTGCACCGCCCCCGAATCTGCCATGGTTGGTTGTGCGCGAATGAACGCGGCGACGTCGGCCGGCCGCGTTGTCTTGTCACATGGAGAGCCTGCAGCTACCTACTCTACTCGTCGGAGGCGGATCCTGGCTTTCGGGTGGGGCTCGCCGCCGTCGACTCAGCGTATCTGCGCCGCGGACTACGTGTCGAGGCCGAGGCGGAGATGTCGCGGCGAGGGAAAGGGAGATCACGAGACGAGATCGGTTTCAGGCCGACCAGTCCCGTCCTTCGGAAAAGATGGAAAATGGCAGAGCGAAATAGTGGTAACAGTGATGTCCTGCGTTTCATCGAAAGGAAAAAGAGGTGATGTCCTCCGCCTACCTCCAATAATACATACTCCTGCATGCAGATATAAGAGCAACTTCAATGAAGTGACCCAAACGGACACGGATTTTGTTCGTATTTTGTCTGTTTGGGTCATCCGTTCGTCTAGCGGACATGGGGCGGATACGCACACAGGGCCGGCCCTGGGCCAGGGCAGCAGGAGCGACGGCCCGGGGCCCAGCCAAACTAGGGGCCCCGACCTTAGTGGTGCAGCCTATGGAAGAAAAAACCTATACGCAGGGAAGGACCATCATCTAACAAAAGCCCAACTGCTGAGATGCCTAAATGCACGACTACTGGCTAGAATTGAGCACGGCTGCACAGGGCGAGCGGCTCTTTGCCTCCTCCTATTTGCACGCCAGCGCCCTCTCAAAAAAATAAATTGTAACCCCTCAGAAAAAATGGTATGCTGTCGTACGCTCACATATATTGGTCGATCGAGCGACTGATTCTCTACGGTAGCGGCTGCCGGATACTAGGGCATTCGCAAGGAATAGCCGAGATAAATCTCTAACGAATTTCTCTTAGCCCTCAATCTTACACTTTGATAAATTTATGTTCTTCTTCTTACAATAGTAGAGTTTGGTCACTAGTCTTGCCAACTTGGCCCTCAACTCAAGGTGTCCTTGAAGATTAGATTTCGATAGCTAAAGAGCATGGGATTTCACTAATTTTACTGCAACGTTTAGCTGACTTTGCTCTTTTTCTTGCATACATGTTGCCCAAATAATATTTTACGTGGTTCTGATAAAAAGAAGAAAGAGGAAACGAACAAATAAGTTAATTGGATCTCATGATTATTGTAGACTTGGAGGTTAGTTAGCATGTCAGTTCTTTTTTCCAATATATGTATGTAAGTTTTATGAAATTTGATTTAGACTTGAACTAAGACACTTCATCCTATGTTACACTAGGAAAAAATATCATTCTTTACTATAGCTTTGCAAGAATTTATCTATCAATATATGAAATTAGAAAATTCCTCCATTGCCGCCGTTGGGCCCATTCATTGAATTCGCTCCGGGGCCTTCGAAACTCGGGGACCGGCACTGCACGCACAGCTTGTGGGTGAACCCAACGCACAAAACCAAAAAGCGGACAAGCGAGGCTGCCGGCATGGACTCCTTCCTCGATGCGCCGCGCTCCTCCGTGGCCACCACCGGCCCGCCGCCGCGGCCTCCGCCACCGGCGTGCGTGGGCTGCAGCTGGGCGACGGGAGCGCAGCCGCCGATGGGTGGCGCGCTCTCTCCGGCGTCTCCGCCCGTGCATCCGCCCCCTCGCTCTCCGCTGCCCTGCCTGGGGAGAGAAGCCTCCGTCCTTCCGCTTCCGCCAGAGGAGAGAGACGGGCTAGTACCACTACCACCACCAGCAGCAGCGGGGATTTGAGGTGGTGCTTCGAGGAGGCCGGAGAGCTCGTTGCTCCGGACGGAGATGTAGTTCATCTCCGACGGCGCGTGGGCGCCAGGGACGCGTAGCCCGCCGGGATCCCGCCAGAGAGCGCGTTCCCGAAGAGCGAGACGGACTCGAGCGCGGGGAGGCGCGCCAGCGACGGGGCGAGGGTGCCCGCCAGGCCAACGCCGTGGAGGCGCAGGCGCTGCACAGCGCCCGTGGCTGGATCTCGCCTGCAGTTTCCTGTCGAGCGAACCGTGCGGTGTCGCTGACTAGTAAGGCCAGGGCGGACACCTGAGGGGGCAACAGCGGACGAGAGCGGACGACGAGAGCGCTCGTTTTGTCCGCCGCGGACCCATTCATGGCCCATTTTTACGTTCAATTTGGATCGGGAGGGAGGACAAACGGACAACATGCGGACACGGACGCCCGTTTGGGTCGCCCCGTTGGGCTGTGTTTTGTGTCCGGATGACCCAAACAGATAAAATGGGTCACTCCATTAGAGTTGCTCTAAACGTCTGGATGTTTTTCAGTGTGTTTTTATTAGATCGATCAGATGCTAACCTAGAATTCATACCAACGACCTTTTGATGTGGTACACGTGAGTGCATGAATCTTAATAAACTTGGTTTGTTTTGAGCCAGAGTAGGAGGAGAGCAAGTCACTGTTAATTTTCTGGATTGAGTTGCTCCTGAGAGAAACTTATTAAACACAAAGAGCTTTATCTGCTACTCCTTCTGTAACTTAATGCACGTCTTATTCCAGGATGCACACCTATGCAGCGCCTCTTGCTTTATGCGGATGATGTTGTGTTATCAGACCATCGAGACCTGACTTGATGTTTGTCAAAGAGGTAATCATGATCTTCGGAGAGGCCTCGGGCCTTAGGATTAACTATGCGAAGTCTTCGACCATTATGATTCGCGCTGAAGAGGAAGATGAGGAATTGGCGAAGAGTGCGTTGCCGTGGAAAATGGAGAAGTTTCCATTCAAATATCTCGGGCTTCAATTGGGAATCGGACAACTCACCCGCTCTGAGTGACAGCCAATTGTGGATGATGTTCTGAAGATTGTTTCAGGATGGCAGAGGGGTCTGGTTACTAGGTCGGGTCGTCTTATTTTGGTCAATCGGGTTGTTTGAGCTCGCCCCACTCATCACTTAATGGTGGCAGAAGCGCCCAAATGGGCATTTGAGAGGGTGGACAAGGGGCGCCGAGCATTCTTTTGGGCTGGATCTGACACCATTCATGCAGGGAAGTGTGTTGTTGCCTGGCAGCGGGTTTTCCGCCCTAAAGGTCTGGGAGGGCTTGGAGTTATAAATTTGCACAAACATGGGATCGCTCTTAGACTGCGGTGGGAATGGCTCAAGGTACTTACAGCTCGCGGCCTTGGAAAGTCCTAAGTTTCACCTCCGACAAGCAAGTTCCGATGACGTTTGACAGCTTGGTCAACTGGCAGCTAGGGGAGGGATCCAGTATGGTGTTTTGGAGAGACTGCTGACTAAATGGAGCTCGTATTGCTGAAATTGCTCCCCTAAATATGGACAAGGTCAAGACACAAGTAGTGAACAAAAGGACTGTAAAGGATGCGATGCATCTACATGCATGGACATCGGACATTGTAGGAGAGATGTCGACTAAGGGGTTGATTCAGTTCATCCATCTCTGGGATAGACTGGTCGATGTGGATCTCACTCCCGTTGAGGAGGACAAGTCGGTCTGGCAATGGGATGCCTTGGGCATGCATACGGCTAGCTCTGCTTATAAGATGCTATGTGAAGGGAGCATGAGATTTCAATGTGCACCTGCAGTATGGTTGTGCTGGGCACCGCTCACTTGCAAGATCTTTATATGGTTGGCCTTGCACTATCGTCTTCGGACGTCGGACCGTAGATTCAGACACGGGCTGCAGGATCTGACTTCAGTTTGCTACCTGTGTGATCAGGAGGAGGACACTGTGGACCATATTCTATTTCAGTGTGTTTTTGCTCGACATGTCTGGTTCCTAAGCTTTAGGAGACTCGGCATAGATACTTCCATCTTGCCAACAGTGGTAGATAATCTGGAGGATTGGTGGGCAAGGTCGAGGAAGCATATTACCAATGGTAGGGTTTTTGCTTCAAATGCTATCACGGATGAATGGGGCACTGCTGAATTGATACACCATAAACTTTTGAGATGGGTGTCGGCAGGAGGTAGAGAAGTCTAACATTTAGTTGAGTAGTAGAGTGTGTGAGTTGGAGTGTTGAGCTCGATGTGCCGACCGGTTGTGGTTTGGCCGTCAATTGTAATTCTTGTAACTAATCTTTGCCTTCTATGAATCAATGGTACACAATTTGCGTACTCTCAAAAAAAGTTACCGAGGGAGTATCTTGATATACCCATCCCCATTCCTGCCCTAGTTCATCTTGATTTCTGTCCCCTCCCGACCCTGAGAGAGGAGGATGTGGCGGGTAGGTCTTTTAGTTTATGTGAGGAAGAACGGGAAGAGACTAGAGGTGATCTGATGGCAGAATGACAAGGAAAATGGCAATATAGGCATAACAGAGGATGACAAGGTAGTAGATGTAGTAATTCCCAGTTCAGAACAAGTTCTTCCCAAGGCAGGAAGAAATATAGCAGACAAGATAGCAGAAACCAGGATCAGTTTGATGGGAGAGATGGAGATGGAGGATTTAGAGATGGTTTCTATGGGAATAATAGTGGTAGTAGTGGTGCACAGGTCTTTCAGTAGAATAGAGGTGTAGGTTTCCCTACTCAGGCAGGTTGTGGGGGTCGAAGTAATGGCAGATTGCAAGGTCGATTTGGTAGTAACCCCTTATGCCTAACCAATGCGTCTGGAGTACAAAAAGGGGCACAAGTGGGAAATCTAGGTCCTTCTAATCAAAAAATTGGTGGAGTAGTTCAGATGAGGAGTTTGCAGCAGTTGCGAGTACAATTTTCTTCCTTACCAATTCAGAATTTCCCCAAGTCGATGCATGTTGGCTTGGGAATGGGGCTGATGAGTTTTATGCCGACTGAACATATGGCACATATAGTATCTCATGTCTAATTTTCCTAAAATGGATGTATTGTTTGTGTCCTTAAATGACAAAGAGGTGTCCACAAGAGAGTCTGGCCACAAAGGGGAGATCAAAGATGGCAAAATGTGATCAAATATGTGGCAAGTGCAAAGGGATTGGACATGGGAATAAAGACTTCAAAGGTAATTTCTATTGTGTGGTTTGCTAGTGGTATTCACACAAGACTGAGCATTGTACTGCACTGAAGCAACCTAAACAGGTCGTAAAATATGTGGGTTTTGGATCTAAAGAGTTGGGCTGGATATTAGTCCTGTATGAATCTATCGATGTCATTGGGTTTGTCATCCAAGTCATACATAGGCCGAATGTTGCTCATTATTATTTTATCTCTCGATGTTATATGACGAGTCAACAAAGACGCCCTTTATCACGAAATAAATCTGCTATTTAGATGGTTTTCTATCTTCACTATCTAGGTGGGATAGAGAACAATGTTAAGTTGAGATGAAAGAATGTCCTTTTGGTAATGGATTCGACCCTACTCTAGGTCTTGCCCTCTATCCTATATGGCATGCCACATCGGTGGTCAACAAAATTGAAGGATAGTCCATGCAAGTCAATGAGGTCAACAATAGTCCAAGCAAGTTCTCGCGGGTCCTAGCAAGCCACCTCGGTCAATGGAAGTCCAAGCAAACGTTTATGGTGAACAAGTCAAAGAAAGAAGATCGCATCGCAAAGAAGTAAAGACCCAAGCCCAATCAAGAATGCCTTCAAATAGTATAGGGATTCTCTCCTTAGTGGGCTACTGTGACGCCCCGGTAATTAAGCTACAGTGATCCTCTGCTAATGGTGCCACGTCACCTCGTTTATAGTTGCTAATCTCGAGTTAGTTCGAAATCAATTCAAATTCAAATTCAAAATCAAGCAAACAATAAAAAATTTCAAATATTAAAACTAAAATGTTAGGAGTGAACCAAATATTGCATAGGTAATTATGGTGGAGAAACCACACTTTTATAAAACGTTTAAAGACTCTAAAGTAATTAAAACGCAGCTATGACGATTAATTAAATGCCCTTTTAAAAATAAAAATAATGCAAACTATTTTAATTAGGTGTCATACTTATTGGAGCAGTAGATTAAATTATAACATTAATTTAGGAGTTGTATTTATATTTTATAAAACAACAATTAAAAGAATGAACTAGAAAAGAAAATTAAATAAAAAGAAAAAGAAAAAAAAACAGAACTAACACACACACACAAAAAAAGAAAAAGGAAAGAGAAAGCCCCCCCGGGGCCGTGGCCCAACTGGGCCAACCCAACCGGCCCAGCCGGCCACCCCACCAGGCCGGCCCAAACCCCACCCCTGGCCTACACATGCCCCCACCCCCAGGAACCCTAACCGCACACCCCACTCACCCCCACGATTCCTCCTCTCCCCTCTGCACCCGCCCCCGATCCAGATCGGGGCAGCGCCCCTGCGCTCGCCGCCGCTCGCCTTGCGCCCGCCCGATGCCGCCCGTCGTCGCCTGGAGCCCGAGCCGCCGCCTGGACCTCGC